GAGACATGTTCTTCATCATCTCACATCGCATTCTACGACATTCACTCACATAATTCATATATACAGTTATTCAGCGAGTTCTGACTTGAGCGTCGGAGGTTTTCTGCCGAGACCCTTTCCCGGCGTATTGCACGCTACCGAAGCTCGAGGAAGAAGGCCGTTCGAGGTGTAGGCTTTCAACCCCATTCGTGACCAAAAGTGACGTAACAAATTGGCGCCGTCAGTGGGAAAAATCATTCTTTTACCGGCTATAAAGGGCTGATGGTATTCTCATTATCAAATCAATCATAAAACAATTTCGCAAATACTCAGGAAGCCATGGAGGAAAATGCACCAACAAACGAATTGCCAGGCAAAGATATTTAAGTAATAACAGACTTCGCAGAGTGGGGTATTTGTGGTAAGCGGCAGGAAGAGGTTGTATGAGTCTCAAAAGAACATCCTGAAGCTACCTTAAGTTTTAGGCCAGAAGATGTTGCGGGTGTTTTAGCCCAACACAGCGACGCACTTGTCATAATGGCAGAAATTGAAAGCTACGTGGTACAACGAGTCATGGAGCATACCGGAAGTTCAGTTGATGCTATCTTCCTCCATTGTGTGGAGCATATGGGCTTGGAAAGAAAGGTTGAGGCGATTGATACAGCCCTGTACAATTTTAGCCGAGGTGAAGTCAAGCTAGTTGTCGAGATTTCTTGTCAATAGTATTAGAGCAGATCCCTCTAAAGACAGATAGATTGATCATATTCATTGTAGTAAACGCACCTCAACTTACAATGTCATTCTAGAGAGACCTAGTTTCAATTCTTTTCAAGCATCAGTATCAACCTGCTGCATGAAGGTGAAATTCCCGGTTGGGAACTAGGTCGTTGAGGTCATTGGAGATCAACGGCAGGCCAGGAAGTGCTATCAAGTCACGCTGAAAAGCTCAGAAGCCCAATGAATAAGAAAAAGCCTGAAGGCGGACTATCCGAAAAGCTCGAGCAGGAGAAATAAGCACAAGAAGCTTGAGATATCATCGAAGGACAAGCTCATATAGGTCGAACTCGTACAAAGGGAGGTCGGCAAGGTCACAAAAGTAGGTCGCCAATTAAAGGATATAAAGATGCCCTTAATCGCTCTGTTGAGAAAATACGTAAACATCTTTGCATTTTCAGAAGACGACCTAACGGGCATAAGCCCGAAAGTTGCCAAGCACTGGCTCAACATCGACCCAAAAGTAAAGCGAGTAAAGCAGACAAGAAGGCACTTCGGTGCAGAACTAGATCAAGTCATCGAAGCAGAAGTTGACAAGTTGTTAAAGGTCAGACATTTTGAACCTACACAGTTTCCTGAATGGATGTTTAATTCATCCAAGGTAAAGAAACGCGATGGCATGTGGTGGATATGTATCGATTTTAGAGATCTCAACAAGGCATGCCCTAAAGATCACTACCTGCTATCGAGAATATACCATGTGGTGGACTCAACGAAAGGATGCGAGCTTCCCAGCATGATGGATCGTCAGATCCTACGATCACATTTTTAAAATCAATCGTTAGATCAATGTGATCATTGAGATCCAACTTTCAGATTTAAAGTGAACCGTTTGAATCGGCGGTTCACGAATTAAAAATAAAAAAAATTGAAAATAAATTTCTCCAACTTCATTTTCACAATTTCAACTTACTCTTGCTATAATCTCTAGATATTACTCACTCTTTCTGTTCATGTTCTATAAATTCTCTAGATAGTACTCCCTCATTTCAGTTTCGATTCTATAAATTCTATAGATAGTACTCTCTCATTTCAGGTCCGGTTCTATAAATTCTCTAGATAATACGCTCTCATTTCTCTCATTTTCACCCCTCATTTTTGTTGTATAAATTCTATTTAAGATGTAAAATGTCGAGTTTTTGTGTAAGATGGCACCAAAGCGAAAAAATATAGGATCTACGAGTGGTGAACCTCGATTGCTAGTGTCGAACATATACCAGGACGTTACGGGACTACCCGATGTGACCTGGACCCCATGGAGGTCCGACGCGTCTTTAAATATATTGAAGATATCCACAATGGCTTAGAGTTTGATGAGGACCTAGATTCAGGTGACGATAACGATCCTACTCAAGCTCAAGGTCAATGAACCACCGTTGAACCCGGGGCTAGGTCGACAGTTGAAATCCGTAAATTCACATGGCATTTAACGAAGGTGCCCAATACGTTTTTAAAAAAAATTGTGATAAGCATTTAATATGTATTTGTAACCACTGTGACACTGTCCGCCCAACGCCAAAAAGATATACGCTTTCAAAATTGGCAATGGGTACGAAACCATGCAAAGATACGTACAGACCTATCATCCGTCCGAAATAAGGATTTCCACAATCCAAACACAAATACCGATAAGTAGCATTACATATGCGGCTGGATCTGTCGGAACTAGTTCTTTTCTTCTTTATTTCAAAACTCTGATTCAAACATAGATGCGATCCAACTGAATTTGTATAATCTTCATTTATTCCTTTCAGTTTTGGTGTTCTTGACTTATATAAAACTTTTGTTCAGATGCTTTAAACTCGGTTGCGTCTCTGGTTCCACATACTACTCTCACCTGTGATATTTTGAAATATAGTGAGTGGAAATATATTTATTTTGGCGCCAACTTGAAATTTAAACAAAAGAGTTTATATTTGTTGTGACATTTGGTCCGATCATTGACAAGATAATCATTATACGAGAACTACTTGTGATTGGGTAGATGATAGTTATTCATTATAAAAATATTTAATTGCTTACGCTGAATTTAATAACTCTTACAGTACTACTAATATCGCTCATTTAATTGCACGTTTCTTAAATAATTATGAATTTGAAAAAAAAAATCATTTCTTTTGATTATGCTAGTGCTAATACTGTTTTGAAAGAGTCGGTCACGCGCATTAAAGATGTCGTTGCATACTTGTACTGTCGCCCTCAATATATGAAAGAATGGAGAATACATTGTAAAGAGATAGTGTTGTACCTAAAAAAATTCAAACCGGACGTTTCTACAATGTGGAACTCAACTTATAATATGTTAAAAAAAAGGTGAAAATTTTTCCATCAATTAAAGTCTTTTTCTAAGATTACTGGTCGTGATTGCAATATTACCCTTACTTTAGAGAATTGGAAGAAATGTAGAACCCTTATAGAATTTTGTAGAAAATTTTCAAACTGCTACTAACGTACTTTCCAATGTTTACTATTCTACCGCTTAACTTGTCGTTGTTCAATGTATAGGCGTAATATGGGGATTTAGAGACATTTTTGCTATTAATCTTTACAAACAAGCACATATAGTAAAAAATATGTTATGAAAATGGTTAAAATATTATTATTACATTTCAACATATTTTTATTTGCTACTTTGATAGATCCGACATGTTCTTACTTTGATACATCCGACACATGAACATGACGTGTTCATCCAAGTCAACACAATTAAAATTTTAAAATTAAACTTATATATTTTTTTTTAAATATTTTTAGTATATACTTTGGTGGGGTTGGGTTCAAGTGAGAATGAGTCTCAATGAAAGAAATAAGAAAACATAACAACCGTCCGATTAGATAATCCAACGGCTAAAAAAAGTCAAATATTTATATTGATTAAGGGTAAATTGGACATTTTCTAATACACCAAACAGAGGCCCCACCCATCAGACCCACACCAGCCCACCAAACCCACCTCACCCTACCCCACCCCACCCCACTCTCTCACACGGACACACCCACAAACACACACACTCACACACACTTCCCGTCACAATTCGGCCCAAAAAAGAAGAATGGTAAGAACATCTCCAATGGTTGGAGTGGATTGGCAATCGAATAAACGGTCTTCTGGTCTACGTGGAAGGAATAGAATGTCATGTTGATATGTAACTCTCCAATGGTAGATGTCTCAACACTGTAAATGTTTATATACATGTTTTATTTTATTTTAATAGCTACCATCCACAACCCAATTGATATTCATCAAGTTTTTTATAGCACGTATATTTATTTTTTAAAGAGCTACCACCCACAGCGCAACTGATATTCATCTCGTATTTTTTTGTATTCATCTGTTATTTTTTTGTATTCTTCTGGTATTTTTTTTGTATCAGATATTTTATTTTTTCATCTGGTATATTTTTTTGTATCAGGTACTTTTGTGTTCTTTACGTAATAATAGATTTTAATTAAAAAAAAGAAGTAAAAAAGAGGAAAAAAATGAGTCATTCATTCTGGAAGGACTTTCAGATGTAGACAGACTTCTACAATTTTTTATTCTCTCTCATGCCACATCATGACAAGAAGAAAATAAAAAGTCACCGTTGGAGAAGGGTTTTTGTCCCAATGTTCTGCAATTAACATACCATTGGAGATGCTCTAAAAATCGCTCAGACAATGAATGAGGGCTTCACTGCGATGAATTTGGGAGCTTGTCAAAGGGCTGTTTGCCCCTCAGTTCAAGCCCGGTGATTTATTTTTGAAAGAAAAAAAAAAGAAAAACAAAAGCAGCCCTTTATATCACAAAAAAGAAGAAAAAATAAATTATAACTCGGCCCGCCGATCATCGGTCACTGCCCCGCCGCCGGCTAGTACAACCCCCGCCGCCGCCATCTCAGAGAATGTCGCCTCCACAAGAGCATGCCACCGGAACCGACCTCGGCCGCCCGCCACTCTGCCGCCCGAAATTGCCGAGCCATCTCCGATCGATCCATCGCTGAAGTTCCTGTCTAGTGGAGGCCCTCGACGCCGCTCACCGGATTCACCATATCGCGTTCAGAATTGCACTAAAAATATACAAACTGCACCATATCGCGTTCAGAATTGCACTAAAAATATCACTACACAAACTGCACCATATTATTATACAAACTGCACTATACGGCATGTGATATTGTACTTTATCGCAACAATGCATTTTGCACCATGACTAAAATACCCCTGCGTGAAAAATCCAAAGTCCACTTATTTACAAATATGTCACCGCGTGTTTGACTAAAGTTGGACCCTTTAACCGTGTCTAGAGCGTTGATCTATCACATCCAAGAGTTATAATTCATTCATATTTCTTTCACTATCTCTTTTTCTTATACGATGACTTATCTACTCGGGTGAACTTGGACTAGTAGCAAAATATTTGAGTGCCACTGCCACGTCGATTGACAATAAGCAGTATCGCCAATGCCAAGTGCCAAGGACATCGATTTGAAATGCCGAACAGCACGCCCCTAAGTTTTATCCCCTTTTATTAAAAAAGTTCAAGTTGATAGGGAATCTCGACTCCCCCACTCCCGTTAAAGTTGGCATTATCCCAGCAAATTCAACCATGCACTACTCTTCTCCTACTCTCAATAAAACTCAATCTCAATCTGCTGTGTGTTCAACTTCTCCATTGCCCTACGCACAACCGGCAATGGCCGCCCCCGACGCCTCCCCTCGCCGCCTCGACCTCCCTACCCACCACACCGCCCCCTCCTTCTGCCGCCGCCTCCGCTGGACCGGAGTCAGGCCCCTCCCCCTCCTCGCCTGCGCCGCCGTCGGCCTCCTCCTCCGATTCGCCGTCCCCAGGCCTTCAGCCGTCGAGCCCAAGGCCTGGTCCCTCCTCGCCATCTTCATCGCCACCGTCGCTGGGCTCATCCTCAGCCCCCTCCCCGTCGGAGCCTGGGCGTTCGTCTGCCTCACGCTCACCGTCGTCACCAGGACCCTCACCTTCGCCGCAGCCTTCTCCGCCTTCACCAACGAGGTAATTTGGCTGATTGTCGCCTCCTTCTTCCTCTCCAAGGGGTTCGTGAAGACGGGGCTCGGGGACAGGGTCGCCATGTTCTTCGTCAGGTGGCTCGGGAAGAGCACGCTAGGGTTGTCGTACGGCCTGGTTCTCGGTGAGCTCGCGATTTCACCGGGGATGCCAAGCTCCACGGCCAGGGCCGGTGGAATTTTTCTGCCAATTATTAAGTCCTTGGCTCTGGGCGTCGACAGTAAGCCCAAGGACCCGTCGTCTAGGAAGCTCGGAGCTTTTTTAATTCAATCCCAAAATCAGGTAATTAGGTTTGATTGATTCCTTTTTGGCTTCTCATGTAGTTAAGTATAAGATCCATTGTTCTGCGTATCTGATTATTAATTTTATGTTGCAAAAGGTGAGATGTTACCACTTGAGTTCATCTCTTGACTATTGAAATAGAGACGACGAGCTAATTATGGTTTATGGGTTGTCATAATTTGGACTATTTGTGGATGTGTTCGCATGTGGTCATGTGGGTCTCTGTAATGATACCTATAAATTTATGTTGATAATAAAAGCGACCAAACTTTGGACCTTTTGACTGTGGGTAATATAAATGGTGGACTGGGCAGAAGAATGTTTTTACCAACTTTTTGAGAGCAAATAAAGTATTTTCAAGTGTAGGTGGCCCAATAAAAGTGTAAAATTCTATCTCTATCAACTTCACTTAAATCTCGAAGTTGTTAATATTACCTCTATAATTTGGTGGGGATGAAAGGGAAATTTAAAATCAGGGAAATTCAAAAATCATGATTTAATATAAGAATATTAGAAAATTTGCATCTTGGGCTTTCCCTGTATCTGTGTGGTTCATTTATATACACAACAAATTCCGCATGTTGTGGGTTTTATGATATGATCAAGCATCAACTAGTTAAATCATCAGCTCTACCGAATGACCACAAAATTAACAAGTGGATTTGTTTGACAATAGAGGTAAGCAATGTTTAGCATCAAAATCAGTCAAGCATTGGTCTATCTTTTGTCTTGGCACCAATTCCCACTTAGAAGATTTTCTTTTTACACCACATTGAAGTCATAAATATCTTTTATTTTAGTTGTGGACTCTTCATGGTTCCCACTTCCCAAGTAACTGACAATTTTTTGCTTGTTAATTACCAGTGTAACAACTGCACAAGTGCTCTTACTCTGACGGCAGCAGCTCAAAACTTGTTGTGCATCAAATTAGCTCAAAGTCTTGGAGTGGATGTTCCAAACCAGTGGGTCACTTGGCTGAAGGCGTCTTGCGTGCCAGCTCTTATTGCTCTTTCAGTGACTCCAATCATTGTATATAAGATATATCCACCTGAGATGAAAGTCACTCCAGATGCTCCTGCATTGGCGAAAAGAAAATTGGAGCAGATGGGTCCAATGAAGAGAGACGAGTGGATCATGATAGGAACCTTGCTTCTGACTATTGCATTATGGATTGCAGGGTAAGTAGGAATTTGAGACTTGGTCAAATGGTCGTGTTCTTCTCATCATGTTTGTACCTCCATACTTGCTGAGACTAGTCATTGAAAATCCTTTAGAGATATGTAGAGCTGGGGAGGGGTGGAAAGCAAAATAGCCTCAGTGACTTTCAGTAATAAGAAAAAAACATTTAGATACATCCAAGATAATGACTTCCTTTTCTTTGCTATAGAAGGGTGACATAGACAGCCTTACTTAGACGTGGATCTGCTGAAATAATTTTGAAATCGTACCCACATAGAATACACTAGAAAATCATTAATTGGGAAATTCAAGATAATGACTTCCTTTTCAGTAATAAGACTTTTTTCTGCTTCGACTGTCTTAATTTTTTAATGGTGAAACTTAAAATACACTGGAAAATTTTTAAGCTCGTTGGGTGAATTGACATGCAATTATTGGGAAACATAAAATTGTAATTTTGGATGATACGAGATAAATAGATCAACCATCAACAAAAGTTAGATGAATCAAGTGAAGGAAAAGGCAAAAGCTTTAGTGTTAAGTGTTATATTGGTTACGGAATGTAAAATCCTTTAGCATGTTATTTTAGCAAACAAACCTGGCTTATAGACAAATCAATGTGACATTTGTTTTCATGCTCATGAGCTTCTTCCATTTCAGTGTTCATTTACTTGAGTTCTATGGTGAAAGAAAAAAAAAAACAAGAAAAAAAAAAGAGAAAAAAAAATGTTCAGCTTATCCCCTATGTTTTTAATCTTCCGAGTTCCTCATAACAACTATAACGTTGGAAAAACACATATAAAGGCTCATGGCCAAAGTGGTTTTACTAGTAATGATCTTATTCTATTCCGTGCCTGCTGAATCTCTATTTATTATAATCCAAAGTACTTCAACTTGTATGCAGACAAGCTCTCAACATGCCAAGCGTTGTAGCTGCCATGATAGGCCTATCTGTACTATTACTCTGTGGGGTACTCAATTGGGAAGACTGCTTGAGTGAGAAACAAGCGTGGGACACTCTAGCTTGGTTCGCTGTCTTAATCGGCATGGCTACCCAACTCACGACTCTTGGGGTTGTTCCATGGATGTCTAAGTCTGTGGCTGGCTTTCTTAAATCAATCTCGGTTAGCCGGTTTGGTGCATTCGGCATCCTCCAGACTTGTTATTTCTTCATCCACTATTTGTTTGCCAGTCAAACAGCTCATGTGGGTGCTCTGTACTCTGCCTTTCTTGGTATGCACCTTGCGGCGAGAGTTCCGGGTTTGTTGGCTGCTTTGGCTTTGGCTTACAACACAAACCTTTTTGGCGCGTTGACTCATTATAGTAGTGGTCAAGCTGCTGTTTATTATGGAGGTATGCTTTCTTTTCTTTCTATTTTTTTTTTTTTTTTTTTTTTTTTTTTTTTTNATGAATTTTTGTAATTTGGGGTCTAAAATGAATGAGTTCAAAATTTCATGGGAGCATGTGTGAGTGTGTTACTCGAGGGTTAAAACCATGGGTGTGCCTATATGTGGTTAAATAGTAAATATCTTATTCAAGTACAAGCTCAAAAATTTGATTTTTACTAAACAGCAAATGAGAGATCTACTCAAAATTCTTCCGATCAACTCATTTACCAGCTTTTTTCTTCATCGAATTAACAGAATCGGACTCAAATGAGGTCTGAGGGCCACTCGGACCCTCAATTTTTTTATTTTTTTTAGAATTTCCATAGAGACACAATGAAAATTTCGACACAAGATGCAAAACTTTCTATAATTATTATACATGTGTAAAAAAATAGTGCCAATGTATAACTTATTTTGAAGTGTTGCACACTACAAGAAATAGCAATTTTAATATTTTTGATGGTCTCTCATTTGTTGGAAATATTTTTAATTCTGTTTAACATTCCAACTCTTCATTGTAAATTGGTGAGTGTCCCCTCAAAATGCTTGATTGGCATGTTGGATTTTGCTTTGTTGATTTCTTCTTTATTTTTTTGTGTATTTATATAATTTTATTTTTAAAAAAATGGCATTCAACTGCATTTTTTACCATAATACCTCAACAAGTCAATTCAAGTCATTTTCTCAACAAAACAGCTCCTTTACAAATTTAGATGTTGTAGTTAAATTACAAATATTTAAAAACTCATACATTTTTTGGTATCTAGCTTTGTTATTTATTATTACAAATTTGGCCCCTGAATGAAATTTCTGGGTCTACCACTGTGAATTAAATCACCATGAAGGAGCTTACTTAAAAATTGGATTTACTGCATTACGTTTCTTATTTCTTGTTTCTTTAATTTAGATTTTTTCTGACATAACATCAACAATTACATATTGTGACTTGAAAATTATGGTGTTGTATTCATATTAACTGAAAACTATTGTTGGTGTGCAGCCGGTTATGTAGACCTTCGAAACGTGTTTTTATTGGGTATAGCAATGGGCCTAATACAAATCGTGATATGGGCGTTAGCTGGAGCTGCATGGTGGAAGATTTTGGGACTTTATTGAGATGGAATTTCATTGAGCAACTAACAGGTTTTAAGTATAAGACTCAACAACTAGTCTGAGTCTCAAGAGTAAAAGGGCTTGATTGTTGATCAATAATAGAAGAATTTTCAATTATACTTGTTTATTTATCTGTAAAAACTTTTTTCTTCAAGCTGACAGAAACTACCTCTCTTAGTTTCAAAAGAAAATTATGTACATGAAAGTTTAACTTGTTGAAAAGTACAAGCTTTATGAGCAATCGATAATTTTATGGCCCGAGACTTTGTTTATTGTCTTCATTTTCAATTTGATTTATGTAACATTTTTTACTTGGTGATTATAGTGCATCTTTAGGCATATGTATGTTCAGTTCTTTTGTCCTGAACAGATATTTTGTCCGCTATTTACAGGCAATCCGATACAATTTGGTATTACAATAAAACTGGTATTTTGTGGTTATTTATACCGAACCAATGACATGTTATTGATATTATTAGTCAGTGCGGTCTAGTGTTTAAAACACTGATTTCAAGACAAATGTTTAAGGGAAAAGAAAATTACGAGAAAAATATAATTCTGAGTATATAATGAAGTGTAAGATAAAGATAAGATGTTTATAGTTCATACTATATAAAACATAAAGAAATAAGGAATTGTGCTTATACATGTGAATATGAATGGATGAATAATGAATATCACTAACATATTATATATTATATAATAATAAATCGAGTTTTAATTTGTAATTATAAACTAAAATTTAGGATCGTAAAGATGAGATGTGTAAATTGTAATGTTCTTGTAAAGATATTCTTTTTTAAATGATTCTTCAAAACTCCACAATTAAATCACGTTTTAAGAAGTTGACTCCACTTCGAATCCAACTGTTGGCTCAACAAAAAAATTGTCGCTCTCATGTGAAGATATGAACTTCCATAGGGGTTGAAACACAAAACGCACTGAATTCAAGACCATGAAGCGAAACAAGCAACGTGTTCATTAATTTGAGTCGAAATGTTCACACATAAAATAATCTAATCCAAGAACCAAATTGGTAAACACACAATTAATCCAATTAAGGTATCTATTATAACTCGAGATTAATGTGAGTTCGCGTGTAAGCTGCCAAGTTTACAACCAAAACATGGTTTCTAGTGTAAGAACCACTAGAAGAAAAGGATTTTATGTGAACCACCAATATATAGTTACACCACTCCAGAAGGAAGACGCAAAGCGAGCTGCCCCCGAAAACACTGCACGTCAAAATTCAAAGTTTAGGAATAAAATTTTCAAGATATAGCATGTAAAGTATCACTTCAAACTTAAAACGAAAAGAGCAATTTCTTTTTTTTTTTCGTTTGAGTTGCATGGTTTTGGATACGCCTAAAAAAACCACAAAAAATTCGATTGATAGACAAACAAGAAAATTTTCCAAACTTTTTACGTAGTAGTAGCAGAGATCAGTTAGGATAAATGTCTGAACAATTTCAGATAACAGAACCATTGACGTCCGGACTCCAGAGTCCATAGCCCAATGCCACAAGAAGATGTCCTCGTGTGTCCAAAACCTGAAACAAGAAAGATTTTTTTTTTTTTACTCTGCGCTCTATGTAATTATAAAAGAAAAGGGAAAGCTATAATTCAAAATTACGGTAATCTCTTGGTATTTGGTGTTGTTTCAATAATTACAACTCAAGGGAGAGTGTTTGTTACTATTAATGAAATTTACAAAAGAGTGCCTGTAATATAAATTTTAAGGTAATGAGTGATTTCATAAATACTTTGATTTCTTTTGTAATAAGGTGATGTATTAAATTGTTGCGTTTAATGTTCTCTACCACTTAGGGAACTGGCAATAAAATATTCTTCAGAAAACTACCCATTGTCGAACAACATACAAGACCTGAGTTCCTCAAATTTTTTCACATAATTGTCATAGGATCCAATGTGTCTGAGTTTGTTAAACTCCCCTATTATCCTTGATTTCCTGATTTCCTCAAATCTAGATGAAATCACCTCCAGAAAATTGTGGCCATGAACAGTCTTCATACTTAGCACAGAAACTTTGATACCATTGAGCTGCTTTGCAATCAAAACACATAGCAACTACTACAATTTTCTATGCATCAGGAATGTTAGGGATAATCTGAAAATACCCACTACATTTTAGGATCCACCCATGAGATTTGACCTGTCAAACCTGGAAACTCCACTTTGGGCATAGGATTTACAAAGTGAGTTTGTGATGATGAATTTTTCAACTGCAGGTGTGGTCTAGCAAATTGTTGTTGCTTAAGTTGTGTACCACCTTTGGTTGATTGCTGAGATGGAGGTGTACCCAAAATAGAATCCTCCATCCTCCCTTCTTTTCCATTGTTCAAATTCAGCAGGTGGAGTTGAATTGCTGCCAAAACATTTGTCATATGATCATATTTGACATCCAGATTGCCCATTTGTTGTTGTAGTACATGCAAAATTTATGCTAGTCATTTTATCCAGCAGTTCTGAACCGAACCCAGCCATTTGTTCTTGTAATTTCATCTCAATTGCCTCCTTTTTCATGGATTCAAGGAGTATGACCTGATCCAATTGTTTCTGATTTTCTTGTAAGTCCTTCAACCGAATGTTCTCAGCCATTTCCAAGGATCGGATGCTCTGATTTTCTTGTAAGTCCTTCAACCGAATGTTCTCAGCCATTTCCAAGGATCGGATGCTCTTAGATACCAATTGTAGTGGTTTTGATTTTTTATGTAATTTTCCTATTCTTTATGGGAGATTTTTATGTAATTCTCAGATCTTCATCACATTTTATTATAAAGAAATTTTATGAATGGTATTGCATAAACTTAATGAATTATAATTTGAGATGCTGGTTTAATTCTTGAATTTTGATTAGCTAATAATTGAATTATATGACTCTTAAAACTAATTGCAGCATATGTGTGGAGACAAATTATAATACCATATATTTGTTTAGTTGTCTTGCAAAACATTTTATATTTATACAATTCATACTCAAGATAATGATATCGATTTATTCCTTCCATGTTCTCCAAAACTTTCTCAAATTATTATTGTAAAGTTTCAAAATAATGGTATCAATTAATTCATTGATGTACTCCAAAACATTCTCAAATTATTATAGTAAAGTTAACAGAAAATGCTTTACAAACTTCGTTGTTACTTGCAACTGAATATGTTATTTTAACAAAAATTTCAAAACAAATGTTTAAGAGAAAAGAAAATTGTGAGAAAAATATAATTCTAAATATATAGTTAAGTGTAAGATAACGATAAGATATTTATAGTTCATACTATGTAAAAATAACAAAATAAGGAATTGTGCTTACACGCGAATATGAATGGATGAATAATGAATTTCATTAAGATATTATAGAATAATAAATTGAGTTTTATTTTATAATTATAAAATAAAATTTAGGATCGGAAAGATCAGATGAGTAAACTGTTATTTTTCTTGTAAAGATATTCTTTTTAAATGATTCTTCAAAATTCCACAATTAGCTTCCAAATATCATATTATTTTTTACTTAACGTGTGTAAGAGGTTGGCTCCATTATGAATCCAAATGTTGGCTCAACAAAAAAATTGTCGCACACATGTGAAGATATGAACTACCATAGGCAGTTGAAACACATATGATATAAACTAAAAGAACCAAAAAACACATTGAATCCAAGACCATATAATGAAACAAGCAGTGTGTTCATTAATCTCGAGTCCAAATGCTCACACATAAAATGATCGAATCCAAAAACCAAATTGGTAAACACACAGTTAACCCAATTACGGTTTTTGATAACTCGAGACTAATGTGAGTTCGCGTGTAAGCTGCCAAGTTTACAACCAAAACAGTAGAATCACTGGCTAAAAAAAAAATAAACCACTAGAAGAAAAGGATTTTATGTAAACCACCAATATATAGTTACACCACTCCAGAAGGAAGACGCAAAACGAGCTGCCCCCCAAAAACACTGCACATCAAAATTCAAAGTTTAGGAAAAAAAATTGCCAAGATATGGCATCTAAAGTATCACTTCAAACTTAAAACGAAAAGAGCAATTTCTTTTTTTCAAAATCGTTTGCTATATGAGCTGGATTGAATCTAGTAGTTCCATTTCTTATTTGTTTTATTTGAGTTGCATGGGTTTGGATACGCATAAAAAACCACAAAAAAATCGATCACAAGAAAATTTCCCAAACCTTTTTACGTAGTAGTAGCAGAAGTCGGCTAGGATAAATGTCTGAACAATTTCGGATAAGAGAACCATTGACGGCCAGAGTCCATAGCCCAATGCCACAAGGAGATGTCCGCGTGTGTCCAAAACCTGAAACAAGAAATAATTTTTTTTTTTTACTNTACTCTGTGCTCAATGTTTTTATAAAAGAAAAGGGGAAACTATAGTTTCAAAATTACGCCAATCCCTTGGTATTTGGTGCGGTTTCAATAATTACAACTCGATGGAGAGTATTTGTTAAGATTAATACAAATTTCGCAAATACTTTGGTTTCTTTTGTAAAAAGGTGATGGATTAAAGGTTAGCTGATGTATTTAATGTTCTCTAAACAAGATAATAAAATGCATCCAACACCTGGAGAACCCAGTGAGCACAGCTGAAGAACCTGGCAACACCCAGTGCAAATACGTAATGAGCCGTAAAAGGTTCAACAATCTGCCACAACAAAAGAAAAACAAAAAATAAAAATAAATAATGAAACATCTCATCATGACTAGCAATTGAGTTCTGCAGACTTCGATCAAAATGAGAATTAACAAACGATTGTTATAATCATTTCCAAATTACCTTTGTGTTTTGCATGACCCGAAGTTGAGGTAGCACAGATACAGCTTCGAGGTAAACACATAAAGCCCAGGCAATCCTGTTGATGATGTGATGTGATGTAGATGGGTGAAATAGTAAAGCTATAACAGCACAAGGGATCACCTGCATAGACACTTTTTCAAAACTTTGAATGCGAAAAATCGAGAGACGAGTATAAAAGAATAAGAAAGAAACAAAATAAATCAAAAGCGTTAACGTACCAGCTAATACTACTAAAATTAGACACCATAAGCAGAAAATAACTAACACAACCATACATTCACAGCCAACTCGTGTGCATTAAAGGTGATTTTTGTCTTTGAATGATAATCCTCGAAAGCACTTGAGAGATAAATGGCAATATTACACTTAAAAATTAAATAATGAATTTTCATGTTTCTGGAGTTATCCACGGCATGTCCAAATGAACTCTTTTTTAGTCACAACTTAAATAAAACACAACACCAAGGAAAACAAATGCCATCCTAATAGAAATAAATACTCACCACATAATACAATTCGATATTGTCTTTATCCTCCATATAACTTGATCTTAGTTTGAAACGAATCATATAAATAACCCACAAGGTTGTAGCAAGAGTAGCCATGTCCAGTACAGTGTGGATGTCATATTCCATGACAAAACTGCAATACAACCTCACGGCCAAAAATATAGCTGTTAGCTCCTGGGATTTGAGCGAAAGCCCTGCCATTCGATTAACAAAAAAATATCAGTATATTAAGTTGCATTGACGAGGCTTTAAGCCTTGAGCATTGTTACTTTCCAAAGGCAATAAAATGTCACATAAAAATCTCACCTTTCAAATGAAAAGATAAAATTAAACATAGAATAAACAAATAAACCCTAAACAGCACATAAACATTTCAAGTTTCAACCACAAGTATACATAGAAATAAAGATGAACCCATTAAGTCTTTTTAACTCAACAATCAGATCAATATCTTCCCCAAAAACACTCCATTTCCCAAAAGTTCCAAGATTTTTCACATTCTTCATGGATGAACTATAGAAATATAAGAATAAACAAATAGCTAATTCCGAAAAGTTCCGAGCTTTCTTCACACTCGGGAATGAATTACGAATATAAAAGATAAACAAATTGCCAAATTAACCTCCCAATATTCAATACATTTCCCAACAAAAAATTAAAGAGCACCGAAAATTCGCACTTCTCGAAGATCCTAGGCTGATACAAACACCAATTACATAACAAACGACGTCGTACCAGCACAAGTCCTCTCCTTCATCAGCTTGTAGATCAATACAGCGATTCCGATCGAGTGAACAGCCTCCGCCGCCACGAACAGATTGTCGTGGTCGTGAACAATCGCGCGAAGGAGAACGAGCGCCGCCATGCCGCTTACCACCGCCAGAAACGCCTTCACCTTCGGCGGTTGCCGCCTCACCCATGCCACCGCCGCTTGGATCGGCCTCCTCGGCGCCTTCATAGTTGTATGTGAAGTATTCTAATGTGACCTTTTTGTCCGAAATAGCTATGAATCTGAAGGAATTATCAAAGAATGAGCTTTCCTAGTCCCCTCGTCGGTTTTCGACCTGAAAATTGAGTAGAAAGGTTGGAGGAAAATCGGAAATTTTGGTCTAAGGGAGGTTTTATTAATTATTAGTAAAACTCTGTTACTGTGGAGTGGTTATGCATACAGCATACACATTTTCAAGAAATGTAGAAATTTTTATATTTAATATTATATTTTAAAGTATAATAAAAATAAAAAATGATATTTTAAATTATATAAATATAATTATATTTTAAAAAAGTGTGAATTCACGGCCGGGCCTACAGCAATTTATCGAATCCCAAATATTCCCTTTTGTCCTTTTTCTATTATAAATAAATTTTTTTTAATTTACTTTAATAGGAATATTTTGCTTGTGATTTCAAATCTGTCCTATTTTTCAACGTATCATAGTGTATAAGTACTATCTCTTGGTCGTCTTGGTCGTGATGCTATCTTGCAAAATCCATATAATATAAAAAATATCGAAATGTAGAACTTCTGTTCTTTTTTCATTTGACGTACTGTTTTTAGGAACTTATGAAGAGTTTGAATTATTGATTTGGTATAATTTCTTAATTTTGTTTCAGTGAACGATGGTTCATTATAATTTTGATATTCTAAAATCTAAAGTATACAGTAATAAACATTAATCTAAAAATTATCCATGATGATTAAATTTGAGTTTACGAGATGAAATATTTTATGAAGCCACATGTATTTTGACACATGTATTAAAGTAGTTATTTTATTTCTTTTGAAAATGGGATGGAGGATATAAATTTATTTCTTTTGAAAGCCATGTCATGTAATATAGTTTGGATGGCAATATATATTTGGGAGAATGCACAAACCGATTATGCTAATTTGTAATATATTTGTAATTGAACCAATATACATGATAGTTATTTGAAAATAATGATATATACCCAACAATAATGGTGATATTGATGCCTTAAGTGTGTAATAGAAAATATGAAAGAACAAAATAACATTGGGAAGTGACAGTGGCTGAAAATTTAATTTTTGCACTAAGTTAAACAATGTAGCTCGTAATTGAGTCATATATAGTTGTTAAAGGAACCAAACAAACATGACCTTAAGTTCTCCAAATCACATATTTACTTGTGTTCATTTATGTTGTGAAATCACCCGAACAAGGCCAATTATATTTCCAAACAAAACAAAAACAAAAACAAAAAAAATACTTACATTGTTATCGAGAAAGCAAGCCTCATGAATCTTCAAAAACCAGTTCTTGATCGTGATAACAGCACCATTGAAATTGAATAACGGTTTCAGCTGCTTGTATCTTGACGTACATGTTGACCAATTGTAGATGGGAAATTACACATTTGGCAAATGTTATATGGTTTTGCTCCACATGTTACAAAATTTACAACCCCTCTCCCACCTATGTATACGTTTAAGTCAACACTCTTTTTATTCTTTTCAGAAAATTTCATAAAATCCCAAGGAGTTGTAAAAGTTTATAGATGTGTGGAATAAAGGAAATTAGTTCCTAGTTAAATTTAATATTTATAGATGTTTGGAATGTAGCAAATTAGTTCCTAGTTAAATTCTCAAAAATGGGAGTGGTCATCGAGATTCGAGAATGGTGGAACTCGATTTCTAACTTCCAATGTCCGACAAAAGATATTATAACGTTATTCATGTCGATTTGTTGTCATCTAAATTCGGTTGAGCAACTAGAAGCTTCCATATTTATATTTGAATGTACTTTATCGATGCATAATAGAATAGGTTGATAGGTCTTGTGTTAGGCAGGTCTAATCATTAGGCCGACATACTATTCTTACAAATGTACATATGTTCATTAAAAAACGTCATACTTTAAAAAAATATCATAAAGTTAAATATGACAAAAATATATGACGTTTTATAATATAAATATACATATTTTGTTCAAGAGAATTTATAAAAGTACATATACTAGCATTTTGCATATTTCGAATGGTGCACTCGTGAATATGTAATAGTCTAGGAGCATGAACTAGTGCTGCCTCCGCACCAACTTGCATTTGAAAGCACGGCTTTTTGTCATCTATATTTGCAGAAAGTAGCTTTTTAAAATTTAATGAGTTTTTTTATTCTAATAAAACAGAGAAATATTCCATTTTGGCACCTTCAAAATTTTCAAATCTAGCCTAATAAAATAACTAATTAATTTAAATATAAATTTTGTACCTCAAAGTCTTAATAATATTCTATCTTATAATAAATATTTACCAAATAATATATATACATATTTTTTTATTTTAAACAAAAATATTAAAAACAAAACATATATATATACATATATAATTATTGTATCAAACCAGGTTGACCCGATCAAATCAATGTCCTGATTGACTTGATCGATCAGATTTGACCGAATCTTTTGTTAACCTGTTCGAATAACACACTTAGACCGAATCTTTTGTTAACCTGTTCGAATAACACACTTAGACCGATTCTAGCTCAGCTCTGGCCTAGGTACAAAAACTACGAGGCTCTTTATTGAATAAAAAGTTTTGTCTTTGTTGTAGACATGTCTCTCGAATATTATTATAATCATATATAAATATTGTTCAGAAATATGACCACAGACGAATGTAATATTTATAAATTTTTTCTAAAAATAATATGTATTATTTATACAGATCAATTATTTATCGAGTAATAAAATCGAGTACGAAATATCGATTCGAAACTAAATAGTGATCCCCATTCCTCCCTGGAAAAAGATATTTGAACAATTCTTTTGTACAAAGAAAAACATAGACTAATTAGGAAATCCGAAGAAGAAAAAGGGGGGGAATAATCAGCAGTGACGAACAATGGCGATGGTTTCTAGCCTTTCAACACTGCGTGAGGTACACACACTTATGCGCGAAGATTTGTTCGAGCTCCTTCTTTTCGAAATTTTCGATTGATATTTTTTTCCTTACAATTTGCAGCGCACGCAGATGCCGCGAGTGTTCTGTAGAAAGAAAGAGAAAGGAGGCCCAAACAATTACCCGTACAAAGTTACCGAAATCACTCCTCCGCCAAAGAACCTCGGCGTTCGCTGCTTTCCCTTGGTAAGCTTGTTTGATCGAGATTCTAAAACAATCGGCTTAAGCTTGTTTGCAGTAAAATTGGTAATCCAAATTGTATCTGGAAATCGAAAAGATTTAGCTTTATTTGGATGTTTTACTCCTTCAATTCAGTTCAAATTGAAGCATCCAATTGAATTTTTTTATACTGCTATCAAGTCCCATGTTCAGTGTTCTGCAAATCGAGCTCGGCTGCACCCGGGCGCCCTGTTTTTTGTCTGAAAATCTCGTCTAGGTGCTCGAACAATTAATAAATAAATTTATTTATATTTTTATGATCCCGTCTAGGGCTTGTATAGTCCCTGCTTAGGCATCTTTTAGAACATTGCTCATGTTATATATTGGCATTGCAATTTTATTATATTTTTTTGTATTAGGCTGGGGTATAAGAGTATTCACAAAGGCAATTAGATGGAGTAGTTAGCCAGCCAGTTGTTCACAAATTATTGTTCGTAATGTCATCGACCTGAATTTCGATATGTAAAATGGTATCTATCGTGCACAAGAAAAGATGGGGTCGTAATATGTTGAGCCAGTAACTATACGAAACAAATTTGTTTTGGCTTCAAAATTGGAGTTAGGAAAGTGGACAAGATTGATGTTGAAGTTATAATAATTTTTTTCACCGAAAAATAAAAATATAAACTGTTGAAGGTTCATATGGGATCTTGTTGAAGCTGTTTGGTGTAGTAAATTTTCAGGTATTGTGAAAGGTTGCCATGAATCGCTCGTCTCCTTTTTGCCACGCATGAGTCGAATAAGGTTGAATAAGATTGTTCCTCGTGAACTGTCTTATTATTTAAGATGTTGTCGAAAAGCAGTACTATCTTATTGAACTGAATATCTTTTAGCTTCTAATTTCAGAACTTGCAGTGTGGCGAGAGTGTGACAATTGAAGGCCAAACTTATACCATATCGGCCGTAACTCATCGTTATCAACTTAGGAAAGGGAAATATGAACCTAGTGAGAAAAGGCTCGACGTGTTGTCGACTGGAAGATACATATTGAACTTGTATTTGGAAAATCTGCTCGAAAGATCATAATTCCGGACTTTATTAGATTTTTTTTATCAGTACATTGTGGAAATCTGTCTCTCCTGCTTTATTGTATGATAAGATGCTCTGTGGTCAGTTGTATGGACTATGGATATGCATTTTATGAATCATTGTAGTTAATTTTGGTGCATTATTTATTGGTATGATGAAGTGAAATGTGAATTTATAAGTTATGTGTTAAGGAAAAAGAGAGAAAAACTAAAAAAGAATTCTTCTGAATTCATATGTGGTTTTCTACTTTTTGGTTTCTTTCATAATTCTATTGGCCATTCAACTAATTTTTCAGCTATTTTTATCAAAGAAACTCTTAAATTGTCCCTTAGTCGTCATTTACTTTCCAGCATAGTTCATCACATTCTTATTGTCCTTTTGTCATCATTTACTTTCCATGATAGTATAATTTTTTTTATGGTCATTGTCATTGTACATGAAATCTCACAACCATAGGTAAGATTTAGTGAAATCATTTGCAAGGGTTAGATTTTGATTTTGAAGAAAGATAATATAAAATAATAGGAGAGTAATTATACGAAGCTGCACTCTCTATATGATTGTTCTTAAAACATGTTATGCTGATTGGTGACAATAGTCGCCCATTGGATATTAAACTGTCTCCTTTTCTTCCACCTATTAAATTTTAATTGTTGACCCAAATTTCGAATTATAGCATTGCTAGCTAAATAGCTATTTTATGTTATAATGCCCATGTATTTTTGCATTCATGGGGATCGTGATTTCTACTTTATTTGATCATTTTTGGCCACCATCTCCAAGGTTATTTTTAAATTTTTTGTGTAGCTTCTACATTGTAAAGGTATATTCTAGGGTGTTAAATTGTTATTCAAGGGTGTTGAATTAAATAAAAAATTAAAGTAAATTTTTTTATGCTTATGTAATTTTCTTATACCCTTTGGTGTAAAATATAGTTACTTAATTTAACAATAACTATTAATTACTCATATATATATATTTGATTTGAATTGACAGATAATTAAAGGATATGAAATTTATAGATCTCCTGTTCCAATGATAATATAATAAATGAAGGATTTCAAGTACACAATAAATAGAATTTAATTATTATTTTAAAGGATTTCAAGTCGTTCATTAATCCTAGTAATTTAAAATCTTTCTTTTGTCATACCGTTGCTATGACCTCATTGTTGTCGTCGTGTGTATGCCTCTTCATCTAAATTCATCATTATTGCTAGCAAACACTGTGCGTCGCAAGCAAGACAAATTCATAATTCCTTCTACAAATCTATACAATGGGTTTGAATGTATAAATCATGAATTTTATTAGAATATACACTTGTGAGTTGTCCCATATCATCTATACAGGGAAAATAGGCCTAAGTTATAAGCCTAGTGAGCTACTCATCCTACCACCAATTAGTTTTAGGATGAAACTTCAATTGGGCTTCCCTGCTTTGGTGCGTTTCACGTCTGTGGGCTTGGGCCTACGTGGGACCGTGCAATGACGTACCTGTCACCCAGCCCAGTTGGATATGGGTTTGTGACACGTCCGTGGGCTTGGGCCTACGTGGGACCGTGCAATGACGTACCTGTCACCCAACCCAGTTGGATATGAGTTTGTGAGTCTCATATCGTCTATACAACGAAAATAGGCCTAACTTATAAGTCTAGTGGGCTACTTCTCTTATCACCAATTGGTTTTAGGATGGAACTTCACATTGGCTTCATTGGGCTTCTCTGCTTTGGTGCGTTTCACGTCCGTGGGACTGCATATTTCTTCAAATTTGGAATAGAAATGTGAATTTTAAAGTATTTGAAATGATTTTTTTTTTAATATTGATTAATGATAAGTCTTCTAATAAGTCGACCCACCAATTAAGTCGACGTACTCTTTCCATAAATACGCACACGTTCACTAAAAAATGTTATACTTTTAAAATTACAATAAACAAAAATATATCATTTAATAGTATAAACATAATTTTTATTCACAAAATATAACGAATTAACGTGTTTAACAATTAGGTTGGTTCATACAAAAATTATCGGTTGATTAATAATAAATGAGTTCGGAGGATTTCCTGCGGGTGGATTCAAAGTAGTGGGTATATTCGGGCGGGTTCTAATTTTGTGCGGCATCAAGTCGTGACAATAAATATATCAATTATGCCTTGCAATTAGTTAATTAGCACCTGGCTTTTAATTAATCTATCATTATATAAAAAGAATAACCTTTTTACAAATTTAGAAACTTTTTCCCTCCAAAATCATTAAATATATCCTAATATAGTAATTGTTGGACAAATCTGAATAGACAACAAAATCGGCTCATTTTTTTTAGTTTATCAAAACCGTTGTTTGACAATAAATATTTGTTTTTTTTTTCCTATTTTTAGTATAAATCTACACGCTTATCTCTTCTGTTACAAAATCCCATTGCATACGATTTTAAAAAATCTCATCCCTTATCTATACAGATTTAAAAAAATAAAATAAAATAGAAACCAATTCATAATTACTACTAGAAATCCATTATTTTTAAAAAGAAAAAATAAAATAAAATAGAAACCAATTCATAATTACTACTGGAAATCCATTATCTATTTTAAGAAGCTAATTTTCATCGGTCTAATTACTAATATTTTTACAAATATTATAAGCTAACCATACAAAAAAGTATAATAATAATTTTGAAATGGTGTGTAATTAAATTTTTTTATATTCTCTTATACAAAATAATTTTACATTGTTTGACACCGAATCTTTAATTTATAAGTATTAAGTATTGTTTATCCTCCTCTTTAATTTATAATTATTTTTTTTTCTTCCTCTTTTTAAATAGAAACAATAGTAGTTTCCACTTCCGTCATTGAGTGACTCAAACTCGAGGTCTATTTATAATATTATTAATTTAATATTATTTCCGTGCATCGCACGGGGTATACACTAGTTT